AGAGAGAGAGAGAGAGAGAGAGAGAGAGAGAGAGAGAGAGAGAGAGAGAGAGAGAGAGAGAACAAAATCAAATGAATCTACCACTAGAACATGGAAATATACATTGCGCACATGCGAGCAGCGCACCAGATGTGCGCAGCGCACCGCACACCCAGATGCGTGGCGCGCGCCGGTGCACGCGCACCCTGGGTCCGCGCACAGTGCCGGTGCACCGCAAGTATGGTCTAAAACTGTACCAGTCATTACCCGTAGTGGCGCTTGGCAGATTTAGGGTCACCGCTTTTGCTCCATTTCGGGATCTGCTAAAATTGCCTATTCTGAACGTTGGGTGTGACTCCAATGTAATCTCTTGGCCTCAGAGACAGGGACCCTGACCATGCTCTCTGCAGAACAGAGATGCAGGATCGCTTCTGCAACAATCTTTTGTTCTTTTTTTCCTCCAAAAGATTCTATAATAAATCAGCTGCGAGTAAGAAAAAAAAGGTGGGGGGGGAGGGGGCAAGTACGTGTCAGTCAAGAATTGAGTTTCGAATAGCCAAAAAAACTGAAGTTAAAAAACTCATATTGGCAGGTCTGTCACTGTCTGTTATCCGTAACGACTTATCCGCAGCTTTTGCCAAATGACCTATTTCAAAAGTACTTTACGTGCCCTGCAAAGTATTTTGCCAAACGACCTATTTCAAATTCTATATTTGATATAAAAGGATTAAGTAAGCACGTTTGACTTCAGAATAGGTTTGTTTGTGTTTTTTTTTAATTCCCGAAATCAAATTAGGGCCCAGTGCCGAAGGCAATATCTCAAGGTAACGGGGTTCCAGATTCAGGGGCAGCTAGGTCTCCGATCCTTCTTCATGAGGTGGAGCCCCTCCCCTGTAGCAGAGGCATCTGCAAGCCAAAAATGAAACAGCCGAAATCAAAGAGCAAAGGAATCGAAAAGCATGTGGAATCGAAAAGCACATGTAAAAAACGAAAAAAAAAAAAACAACTAACAACAAACCCACAGGGTCGCCTACGGGCTTCAAAATTTCACTCCAAAAAAATCTTAACAGGGGCTAAAAAGTCTGTGAATGCAACTACTACTGTAGGAAAGATCCAAACCGAATGTCTCCAGTACAAGCATCTATGGATGCCAGGGATGGGCAGCTGGTCCAGTGTTGACGGAACCACCGGACCTCTGCACACACGTTCCTTGACGAGCCAATCCTTTTACCCCAATCCAAGCAGATGATGTGGCGCATGTCCTTCTTTAATCGTTGAAGCACTTGTGGGGCCGAAAGGGGGTCTGCAGATCTGACCACAGCATTTTGTTGCCCCCATATTTGCCACAGAATAACCACCCTGACTGATTCATAGATATAAGCTCGCGGCTTGGTGAGGTGCAACAGTGCCGTTCCCAACAGGATAGCATTGGTAGACCACAGATCTCCCAATGAAACCGGAAGAGGGCAAGAAGCTTTGACAATAGTCCAAATAGCTCGAGCATGTTTACATGTGACCCAGATATGTTCCTGATCTTCCACCAAATGACCTGAAGAGCAGATAGTGCAGAAGGGAGAGCCTTGTTTCCATCGATGGTACAGGAAGGCAGCAGTTGGTACAGCATTATGCAAAATGAGCCAGAGCAGACCAGCATGCTTCGCTACAGTCAGAGAGGGCAAGAGGCGCCAAAATGCGGTGAGGTTGAATTGGTGGATAAACAGTCCATATTTGCGTCATGTGGTAGTGACTGCCCACTAAACATCCACATCAGGCAAAAGTTTGGCATATCTCATGTGAGCATATCCCATGGTAAGGACTCTAAGGAGGAGGGTCTGATCAGACCTACAAGGGTCTGACCAGTACGGGGTTTATAGTGAGGGTGTTAGTTGTAGGGTTTCAGCAAGCACGGGCTTGAGCAGACAATTACAACAACGTACCTGGCTTTCTGCAAACGTTAACCTTCCGCCCAAAATTTTGAAAAGGGGCCTGGGGATGCTAGTGGCAGGGTAGGGACGGTACTTCCCACCCAAAAACTTGGAAAAAAAGGGGGTGGGGGTTATAGTGTTAGGGGGTGCTTGTCACTGCTGTCTGGTCGAAGTTGCCCTCAATACTGGTAGGGTGATGGTCCTGAGTGCTGGTCACACTGCGGTAGGATAGTAGGGATAGGGGGTGCACTGGGAGCATTGACGTGGGGAAGGCTAGGGAAGGTGGCCTAGGCTGTCAGGACAACCACTGGCTGCCGCTGCCAGTGATCACCGTGGGTCTAGTCCTTGGCCTCTACAACACCCTGGCTACGGCCGACCGGGGGGCAACCGGCCCGGTCGACCGGTCCGGTTCCGGTTGGGGGAGGGCCCCCCGGTCCTACCGGCTTTGCAGCACTGATTTTCAATCCTTCTTGATGTTGTATATGACACTGACTGCCGTCAGTTGCTCCAGGTCAGAACAGATGGAGGCCACCGCTGATGACCTTTTGAGAGGGACACCCAACCCAGTTTGACCAGGGGTGAGGGTTCAAGACACCCTTTCCCATGCGGAATAGGTTCTTACCATGGGCGCGAAAAACAGAATTACGTTCATTTTTGACTAAAACACACATTTCGAACTGTGGCCACTGGCCATCACCAAAGTGCCATTCACTTTTTTTTTTTTTTTTTTTTTTTTTTCTGTCTTTGCGAACTCAAAAAAACCTGACGCGGCCATCAATTTTCCAAAATAAAATTCAATCTCTGTGAAATTGCGATATGCTATTTTGATGCTTTCCTTGCTTGCTTGCCATGTGGCAGGTTGCGAGCCACAGGCAAACACTCGACAATAACCCGGCAGTGAAGCAGAATATCATCGTCAGGCAGCCGTTGATGACGCCTTTGAACTTGCAGCAGGCGATCACTCTGCGCAGAATGCGATGTTTCGACCGTCAACAATTACCTCATGATCGGCTGGAGGATCTGGATCTCAACGACGGCGAAAAGGGTGGCAATCCAGTTCAACTGAACACTGACAGATCGTACCCGCCCGGTTGGGAAGACACTCTTATTCTCACAATGAAGGGCATCGCTGCCGGCATGCAGAATACCGGATAGATGAGACAGTTTGCATCTGATTCGAACATACTCGCCGGCGTCATTGCCATTTTGTGCATGCTTTGTGTCTGACACCTGCCGGCATATGTATTCTCACAGCCACGAAGGCTGCAGCACCGTGTGTTGTCATCAGATGACAGGTATGGTTGTGAATGCGCAATGTCCAAACTGTTTTTTTTCCTTCAATTTTTTTCGTTTTTTACCCAATCCTACCTGTCCAGCAGGTATGGTTGCAAATGCGCAACGACGAAGACTGCTTAATGCTGGTATATTTTATTTAAGTCAATGGACAAACACAAGCTGGAGTAAAGCAGATGCAATTCAGTCAGCAATGAAGGTGGAAGGTTCAAAACCCAAAAGTGAAGTGAACCTCCTTTGCTCGCGTACGCACGTTTAATGCCATGCACTGTAGTTCTGCGCTTCGTCCGCCTCCTCCTCCTCATACACAGAGAGAGCTCTGTGGCAGAAAGTCCAGTGCAACTGCAGAGTGCCGGTTCGACGCCGTGAAGAGTGAGACTTGGCTCTTGTGGCTGAGGGTGCCGTTTCAATTCCGTGTGTGCAAGACGAGAAAGTGCGGGTTCATAATTACGGTGCGAACTGCCAAGTATGCAAAGCAGGTGTGAAACGGCAGCACAGTACAGCATGCTTCGGAGTTGTCCCCTCTCGTCTTTTGGAGTGCTCAGATGCAGACAATGAACCATCTTTTCTTCTTCTTCTTCTTCGTCTTCTTCTTCTTCTTCTTCTTCTTCTTGGGTATTTTAGAAGTGAAAATCGTGGAGGTTTCAATCATCGTTGACCAGTTTCATGGTTCTTTCCGTGTTGCTGTCATGAAGGCAAAGGCCTGACTTCACTCACTCTCAGCATGTACGGATTCACGACTAAGTTCAAGAGCTGATGACAAATGTAGGCCAGGGGAAGGTCGGTGCTTAGGTCTGAAGGCTGATGCTGACTTGTAAGTGTGCACTGTGCAGTGGCAGGTGCCACACAGTAGCACAGAACAGCGTATTTTTTCAGGCCACCACTACGGCTCTACGCGCCGAGAGAGAAAGCGGGGAGAAAAAGGAAAGGGATGAGTGCCAGTCAGATTGTCTCAACTGACCAACTAAGAAAAGGCAGCCCTCCTCCGGACCAGTGCAGTTGCGTAAGGTATTGGAGGTTAAGTTCTCACTCACTCACTCGCTTGCTCTCTCGCCCACTCTTGTTGATCCTATTTCTCACTGGCTTGTTTATAATTTGTGTAAACGTATATAATTTATATCTCATGCCACTCATGGCCTTCAATCTCCTCAGCCGGTGAATCTTTCAGCACAAGGAGTATTCTCACGCAAAGCGTCAGAACCAAGTTCAGCAGAGTAGGGAGAGGAGGCATGTTTCTTCAATTTATGTCCCCACCTTGCATCTCTCATGTGTGCTGTTGTATGTATGTGCCGAGTCCAGAGTCTGATGAGTCAGATTGATGTTTTCCAGGTTTCTGCTGCTTTGCATTGTTGTTCCTCCTCGCTTTGGTCATTCTAGGTCCCCACCATGCCTATGTGTGACAGCCTGCCTTTTCGCGCACCCCCCCCCTCCTCCTTCTTCCACCACCTCCCTGTCCTCTCTATCATGTTCTATGTTAACCTCCCCAGTACCCTGAAGGCTGAAGGGCAGCATGGAGGTCTGGATCGTACTACTCAGGAACTTGGCACTTTGGGCTATATGGATCGAAGATGTACACACCAACGGGCCCAGCGCAGTTGGTACACCCATTAACTGTTGAAATGCAGACCTGAGTTCGAATCCAGACGGAACCAGACGACTGAAATCACATAATATTTCTGAATTATCTGCGGTTAGTCAGTTCCACGATGATATGGATCAAAGGTCACACTTTCCGGTGGCCTCTTCACGAGATTCTTAGTTAAACCAAAAAAAAAAAAAAAAAAAAAAAAAAAAAAAGAGAGATTCTCAGTTAAACCACCAGCACATGGCCCCAGGCAACTGGAGACCTGTTTTGAGCCTCTCCGAAAATTTAGGAGGCTCAGCGCCGTAGATAAAATAATTGCAGAGTCACAAAAACGAGTTATAATTGCACTATGGGGCAAGATACAGTTTGTCATTGCACTTCAGGCACCCTACCTGGCCAGAAAGCTGGGCTGTATACATTGCCCAAACTGCAATTCGGAACTGTGTCTTGGCCCATAGTGCAGTTATAACTCATTTATGTGACTCCTGCGTAGTTTTTGTACTGGTGCTTTAAAGGCCAAGCTTTTCTGTGTATAGTAGCAGTATGGCCACACTCTCAGATGTTTTAGGTGTGTAGTAGTAATAAACAACATCTACCTCCTGTGGCCAGCCTATCTGGCTGAATGGTAGACCCATGATCTGTTGGTAAGAAGACCAACAAGGAACCACAAATTTGCATTGCCATGATTGACCAAGCCAGCAGGCAGTGCACCATCACTTCTCTTCTCTAGCCTCAGGGAAGATTTCCCACAGTACGAGCCTTATGGTGAGAGGATCCCCTTTTGTTCCAGGGGCAAGGTCCCACTAGCAAAGAGGATCGGATTTAAGGCCCGAATCTGGACGTCTTTGTGGAGAGGTGCTGATAATAACGATTGATCTGCTTTTCTGCATCTTTGCCTAAAACCGATCCAGATTCGGGCACTAAATCCAATCCTCAATCCTAGTTGGACCTCACCCTGGGTCAGCTCTCGAAACCAGCCAATCTGGGGTGGGAAGGCATCTGTGCAGGATCTACCATTATAAAGCTCCATTATGACTAGTTGGCATTCTTTTTTTCTTTTTTTTTTTTTCTTTTTTTTTTTTTCTTTTTTTTTAATTATCATAGCATGCGGTTTGGAGGGCAGGAAACACAACTCCCGACCCCTATCTGTGATAAGTATTGGAGTTCTTGTATTTATTGTGTGGGCTCAAGATGGGTCCCTCTCATGGCAACATGAGAGTTCAATCACTTCGCTATATGCTGGAAACGCCGTAGAGTTGGAAGTTCCAAATTCATTGGTCAATCAGCAGGCTCGCCATACAGAGTTCGCCTCCCAGATCGGATTCTGCTTTTCCGTTGCTCATTCCCGTTGTAGTGGATCCAAGAGAAGCTGGCTTATTGGAATTCATGGTTGGAAAACTTGGAACATAAATAGACCTTTATCCCGCCCGCGGCACCCGCCACACCACGCTGATTCGAGTGAGGCCAGACTGTGGTATTTGGTGGTCCACATATTTGTTTCTTATGAGTTTGGACCACCTTGTACCAGGCAAATCTACGTTGTGACCCTGCAGGCTGGCTTCGCCTTCCTGTACCCGTTGTTGTACTGGCATTTGATTATTTTGGTGCGGTTGGTATTCGGGCCAGGTCGAGAGTTGGAAAGGCGGACAGAGGCTGCTAACTTTCTGAGTAGGATCTGGCATCCGCCATGGGCATGGGATGCTGGACCCGGTTTCCAGCACCGTTGGTTTCTCTGTTTGTTTCTCTTATCAAACTTTCTATCTATGTACATCGTAAGGAATGTATACAATTGGTGACTTATGGAACGACCAAACAAACGCATGGCATACCGAACTGGAACTCCGCCCGTGAATGGCCCATATCAGAAAACTTCAAGAAGGCCTGCAAGAATTTCAGGAGGCCATCCCATTGGCCTGGATATCAGAAGTTTCAGAACTGAAAAGAGGCCGGAGGATAAGACCGGGGGACTGGGTCGCGATGCCCGAGGATTGGCCGATCCCGATGGTATTGTTCAAGGTTGACAAGGTCCTCGATCACATAGCGTCACTACAGGCCTATACACCCCGACTCCCGGGACAACGGTGGTCCAAATCGCTAAGAGAAGACAACCTGGACCGCCAGCGATCTGCGACGGGGCTCATAAGAGTCCGGGTCCTCAATGACAGGGAGGACGACCCGTATGCATATGAGCCATCGACCCCCCTCAGCCAATTGCCGTTTGACCCCCAGGAATGGGAATGGCACCAGGCGGGGAGCCACACACTTCAGATATGCAGTACACGGTTGAAAATGGATACAGGATAGCTCGACAGAAAGCACAAATCACAGATCGGATTGGATCACGATGGGAGAAAGAATCTCCCCTCAGAAGTGAGGATTTACATAGACTTAAATGGGCCTCCTATTCAAGAATCCGGCCCACCAATCTGAGAGCTCTGCAATGGCAGATTATCCACAGATGCCTTCCTACCCCGGACTGGATCGCATCCAGAACGAACTTGGAAATCCGGGGAGAGTTGTCCCCACTCTGCAGCTACTGCGGTTGAACAAGGTCCCCCAAAAGAGGGGCTACCTTGGAACATTGTCTTTTGGACTGCCCCATGGTGCCCCAACTGTGGAGTTGGTGGGACGCGGCATGGCATATACCATGGGATATCAAAGTGATCCTGTTGGGGGAAAAGACACCACAAATGGCCCAATGGACGCCCTTCATGACCAACTTGTTCACCACTACACGACTACCAATGCTTATGGCAGCGTGGCGAGTGAGGTGTGCACATGAACGCAAGCAACTTACGTTTGGGTATATGGAAGCACGGGCATCAATCGCGGAAACAATAACGGTCAGTACATATGCGGCTTCGCAAGAGCTTCGAAACATGCTGACAAACAAACCAGATGCAGTCAAACGTAATGACCTCTCACACAACTTCTGCATGTTATGGGTGGATAATGAACAGAGGCTCTGTGAACTGGACCCGGACAACCATCTGCGATGGAAACAATGGCTGTTAACGGAACCCCGATGGGAATGCCTGCCCCGTGACCACTTTCATATCCCCTTCCAACGGACTAATTTCATCCTGGTTCCAACATAGCTGCCTGCACCTTCGGATCTCATGGTCCCCCGCACCGCCCCTGCCCCTACTGTGCATGAGCCCCACTCCTCCCCCCCCCCCCCCCCCCCCCCCCTCCACCTCTACTAAACCACTTTCTTCTGGGACGGTGGGGACAGGGGGTGGTTAAGGCAGCTCCGCATAGCCACACTAGCACCTTACCTCACACTGTCACAGCACCTGCACAAGAATGCAGCCCAATAAATTGCAGACAATAGGAGGAATGACGAACAACAAGGTTTACGGGTTTATGGGTTTATACCACTTTATGGGGTTTAAGGGTTTAAGGGTTTAAGGGTTTAAAGAGACCTGCCATAACACTTGGGCTTATCGGCTGCATAATTGCGCTGGATAGAATTAGCCCACTGACAAATTGACTGACACACATGCATGTTCCATAGGAAACACAGTTAGGAACACTCTCAACCACATCAGATTCTTAGATAGCACACCGCAATATGGGGCAATAAACACACACAGGAACACCCTCAACCACACCCTGCACAGCACAATTCAACGTGCAATAGCAAATATACAGACACAGACACAACAGCATAAGGCAACAAGAAGATAAATACCAGGTAAACAGTAAGTGACTGTCAACAGGTCAAGATAACAACACCATAAGCGATAGTTCACTGAATGCTCAATTAAAAGAGATCTGATAGAGCGCTGGGCCACTCACTGCCCAGCCCCTCATGCATACTGACAAACCTGCTTGCAGTACTTTTGTTTCTCACATTGTACTCTACAGGGACGCTGGACTCAGTTTCCAGCAGGTGCTGCTCACCACCAATAGATGAAGCCTCCCCGAAGATGCTAGTGGTGTCTGCTCCTATCAGCACCCCTAGCAGCCGCTCGGCTTGTTTTGTTTAAAAAAAAAAAAAAAGAAAGGGAAGCTGAGCCCCGTTCTCAGCACGTGCTGGTCCCCAAGCGTGTGTTTCAAAAAAAAAAAAAAAAAAAACTTCCCAGCAGTTATGTGAGTGTTTCCAGGGTTGGGGTGCTTTGTGGCCGTTGTAATGGCTCACTCTTCCCTCGTCGCTGTTAGCTGCCAGGGTGGGTGGGGGGGTTTCAACTCGTGGAGCGGCTGCAACGGGGCATACACCAGTGGGACATTCAGCAGCATGCATCTGGACAACCTCAAGGGATAGGCAGTGTTCATGGACATGCCACGGAAACGAACATAAAGTGTATTGCACGTGAGCCAGTTTCAGTTCAAGGATCGCAATGTGGCGATTCAAGGTTCGGTTTCAACCAGGAAACAGGCTAGATGGAGACAAATAGGGGGAATGGATGGGTATGTGAGGAAGGATAGGTAGAAATCAATACGGAAGTGCGAGGTGCAGAAGGTGAATGGGAGAGTGTAATGGGAATGAAGGAGGACTGTGCTGGTTCTAGTGAACTGGAGCCAGTATTGTAAAGCGCAACCTCACACCCCGTGGGCCGTTCCGTACCCACGAATGCCGATCAGAGAAATCGGGGGTGTGGCCGAGGATTTTTGGCC